ACGAAATCCTCGATAAATCAGTAAATATTAAAGCTAATTTATTCAAAATTGATGGTTGCAACAATTCTTTACTAGGAAATACCTTTCTGATAAAATTTTGGAAAATGGGCGTGGCACCGCCCACTAATGATCACATATATGTATCTCGTTAACCGTTCTAGCAATTTGTACCAAACTCGGTATGGTTATTCTTCTTGCCACATAAAAGCAAACCGTTGAAAATTCTTGAAATCGGACTAAAATTACGGCCGCTTTTCATATAACGCAAATTTCAAAAATACTTTAAATTTCAATATTTCGAAATTTAAGGATGCTAGTTTACTTAAAATTTATACACCCGCTTATCATGTAGCGGTAGCTTTCGGAAAGGTGGAAAACATATATTTAATACTTGCGCCGGGTATTTAATGTTCGGCTCCGCCCGAACTTAGACTTTCTTACTTGGTTTATTTTGAAATCAAAGAATGTTGAGAGGTCGCTCAAAGCGCTCCAACTTTTCCATGTATTTTGTATGGGAAAAAAACAACTTTTCGTGAAAATGGTATGGAATTTTTGAAAATCAATATTTTTCGATCCGAAAACTCTGGTTCGCTTCAGGAGACTTCCAAAAATAATATTAAATTATTGGTTTAACCATTTTTTAATAATGAAAATTTTTTATTTATCCCCCCACTGCATTTTCTTGCAGGGGTTTTGGCGGCCCTATAAAATATAGTTACCAAGAAAAAATGGTTAATAAATAATTGGGTTTTATTATTGGGAATCTGTTGAAGAGAAACAAAGTCGTCCGATCGAAAAATTTTGATTTTCAAGAATTCCATACCATTTCCACGATAAGTTCTTTTTCCCATACAAAATACATTGAAAACTTTGAGCGCTTTGAGCGACCTCTAAATATTTTTTCATTTCAAAATAAAAAATAGTAGTATAATTTTTTCGATATAGAACAATCCTAGGGGGGAGAGCATAAAAAATCCGTCTTTACTATTTTACATGCATTTTTGGACCAACCTAATCTACATATGTATATATAATTTTAAACACACGTAAGCACATGTTCGTAGGAATGCATATGTACATACATATGTACTACATATATCTATGATTGTATAAAGGAATGATTTTGGCTGAGATGAAGTGTGACCAGATGATTACGAAAAGCGAGACTAAATAGGTTTTGAAAAAAGGTTAGAAAAAGTTATACCCTATGAAAAATGAAGTTAAAAAGAAGTCAGTATATTCATTCCTTAAAAACTCTTCGCCAACTCGATAAGGTATGCAAAATGGATTTCAGTTTAGGATACGAAAAATAAAACAAAATCGCGAATAGAAATATGAATGTTTTCTACATCAGAGTACGCTAGAAATACGCAAACAAATCAATTCTTCAGTTTTAGGCAGATTTCGTGATACTACTTTTTAAAACCTAAGAAAAAGAAGTGGTGCTTTGCTCTTTATTGCAATAGTTGAATGGTAAACAGTAGTTGTTGAAATACTAAGTATTTTTACAAGTTCCGGTCCGAATTTTACTATGAATATTTTAAGTAAACAAGTAATTTTTAGCAAAAAAAAACCGACTTCAACTCTCATATAAAAAAAATATATATATATATATATCTCATGATCCGCTGATCGGATCTTAACCAGATTAGTATGGGACCACCTCGGTTGACGCGGTCCAAAAAATATTCCGACGAACTGATAACCTCCTCCTTTTTTGGAAGTCGGTTAAAAAAGGCCAGAAAACAGCCACGAAGTCAGATCGAAAATTCTGAGGCTATAGCTTAAAACTAAATGCTAAATCTAGCCTCAAAAAGGCTGACCTGGTCACACTGCTGTGATGCCAATGAAACTACTTGAATTGATTCATTGCAGGTAATTAATTTTTGCAGGATATAAATTATATGTTGTGGTCCAACAATGCAGAATAATATACTTGCAGATAACAGTACATTGTAAGAGATATTTTGTGGCCCATTATGTATACAATGCGAGCAAATACGCGAATGTGCTATTTGTATTGATTAAGGCAGCTAATAAAATTTTACGATCATTTCATTTTGGCGTCCGAAATGCGGTATATCAAAAAAATTCCTGTTTTTATTATTCATATAGGCATTTAAATACGATACATAAATTTTATAAGCTAATTGTTTTAAAATAAATATGCTCGTTTAATTCAAGCAGTCCTGTATAGAGTTCATTTCGAAACTTAACTTTTTTGATACTCTGGGATCTGGAATCCTGGTAATTAAAAACTACTACTTTACTAAATGTACCATTCAATTTTGATTATAATTGTTCTTGTACTTTTAATAAGCAGAAATTTCAAGTTTTCCTACATAAAAAAGTTTGATTTTACCTATTATAACCACAAGATGTGGTGCAGTGGTAAGCAGTGCGCGCTTCCACTCCGCTGCACCTGGGTAATTGCTTTAGTTTCGACGTTGTTGAAAGCGCCCTAAACACCTAAGAAACTGGCTAGGATGTATTCTCTGTATTCCAGTGACTTTTTAATAGTAGTGGCCACTTCGTGGAGAGCGCTATCGACTACCTTGCCCTTGCGATAGGCATCCAGCGCTATGCCCATTGTGTGGATGCGGGTACTTTTCCGTATGAATAGGTCAACAAGTCTTTTAATTGTTTTTAGTATGAACGATGAGATACTTATTAGCCTAAAATCCTTTGGGAACGAAGGGTTTAGCTTCCCTTCTCTTGGAATAAACATCACTCTGACATCCTTCCAAGCTTTGAAGCATATAAACTGTTCTAGTGTTTGTCAGGTTTATGTACAGGGTTTGGTCAGGAATCACAGGAAGTTATTACTGAAAATTAAAAAAAAAAATTGTGTACTGGAATGACTTCTCACTAAATCCTATACATCTGATGGGTACTGGAACAGACTAATTCTATGTAGTATCACAGCGGGTCTATGTGCGAAAAGAATCTGCTCATCTAGCATTTTAACCTACCATATCCTGAGAAAGTTCTATTTACTGATTTTTCATAGTACTTATTAAGTTAGTGATAAGATCTCAACAAATACCAAACTGGAAATGAATTTATCAAAGTACCAAATTCGATACTGAAATAAGAAAATTGTGACTTTTGGCAAAAAAATACCTAAACGGCAACTCTAAACTTTACCCTCGACTCAGCACGTCTTCTATTTTTCTAAGAAAAATCGAGAGTAGGAATGCTCGGTATGCTTACTTAGTACCTACATACATATGTATGTTAAATAACTTGCTATATCTTCTTCTTCTCCGTTGCTCGGCATGGGCGGAGACCAGAAAACTTCCGGCAATTATCCCTAACCTTCGCGAGGTTGCGCCAGTTGTATTATATCCCGAGTGCAGACCATTGTGCATTTTCTGTATGCCCATTAAAAAGCTCGTACAGTTCGTCATTTCATCTTCTCTCTTTTTATAAGTTGCCAGTAGGTACTTTGCCTTGGCTTCGTTCGCCGCTAGACCAACCGCTTTAGCTTTCTTTTCTAAGCTTGAAAATGTGCGCTGACGTCCGCATTTCTCAAGCCGAAGATGTACATATATTGATGTAAATATTGCTCCTACTATTTATTGCATAGTAATTATGTACATACGATTTAGTCTCAGCATAACTCCCTACGCTATTTATGCGTGAATAAGTATTTACCAATATCCAGACATTTAATTTCCATTAAAAACGCCAGTTTTTAAATTTAATACTTACAGATTTCCAATGAAAAATTATATTCAATTTCAGACTCCTTCATAAATTTACATACACATATAATCGCCGTTGTTAGTGCTGAGATTCAATAAGCAACAATCGTTCATAGAAGCGTTTCTACAATTTTTCACGCAATCACTCAATAGCCAACAATCTGTACATAACGAAGATCAACATACGCGCAGTTAGAGAATGATAGACCGACGCGCGTAATTAGTACATTTGGGTGAAACTGGAGGGTTGTTCAGTGTTACAGCGTAATGCAACAATTTCCAAATATTCACTGATTGATTTGTAGATACTGATTAAAAATTTCGAAAATTAATATTAATGATTTAGACTTTGCAGATTGTCTGGTACTCAGATTATATTGATGATTTTTATTCACATCCGTATTCATGTAAGTATAATTAATGTTTTTAATATTAATACTTACCATCTAAATATGTACACTAGACTGCATCACTACCCATACAAAAAAAAAAAATAAAAAATCGGTACTGTTTTTCCATTGGAATTATAAAATCTATTATATTTTAAGGCGTACATCAAAATATTTCGGAAAAATATTAAGATTTAAGCGAGCTGGAAACAAATGACAAAACGGTTTAAGCTTAAAAAATGCGCACAAAAATATTTTTAAAAAATTAAAAAAAAAATATTGAACAGAATCGTAATAATGAGATTTGTGATGTTCTTTTTTAACCTTTTTCAAAGATTTGTATAAGAAAAACTTAAATAGCTGAACTTAAACTCTTCCGTACATTTAGTAGAATTTCACGGGCAATAATTTTGTATAACATTTTAACCCATCAAACACGTTAAACACTAGATTTTCAAGGAAGATTTTTTTTTGATCGTACTTGGCTTATATGTAAAATCTTCATAGAAATATTAAAAAATATTTAAAGTTGTGACTGGTGGGACAGGTTCTTGTGGCTGGTGTAAAGTAACATATGCATGAAGTTAAAGTTTCCATAGATAAAAATTACAGTTAATTTTTATTTTTTTTTTAATATTTTTTAATAGAGTAATTAAGGCGTTTTAAAATTGATGTCGTTTTGCTCTTTTACATGGAATGACCCCGAAGTTTCCTTGTTCTCACACAAATAAAAAATAAATGTAAGCTAATTATTTCCTATGACAACTTAATTGCTTGTTGTGACGGGCTAACTCTTCTTCTCACGCTATAATATGTATGTAAGTACATACTATAAAATACAACATTTTATTTTACACAATTGTGAAACCACTTTTTAGTGATTCACTTCTTTAACAACCACAACATGTCTACGAAAGAAATTCGCCCCACAGAATCGTTTGCCAAAATCATCAAGGCTTTTCGCTTTATGTCCGGATTGGTCGGTGCTGATGTCTCCAATGTGAATTACAAGGTCAACATCGTTACCATCATTGTGATACTGTGCATCAGCATTTATTTCATTTTCACCGTCACCACTGTGGCCAGCGTATTTTCAGAGAACTGGACATACTTGTTGGAAGCATCTTGCATGGTCGGCAGCGTTTTGCAGGGCATCACCAAACTTATTTCGGCTATTGTATTCGCCAAGGATATTGCAGCAATGCGCTTGGAGCTAGAGAGTCTCTATAGCGAATATGAAACGAAGGGCGAGGCCTACTGCAGGGCGTTGAACGAGTGTTGCCAGCGTGTATGGCAGGTTATGAAAATGGTCGGGCATATCTATGCTGCTGCGGCATTTGGAATTCTAATTTTGACTGCAATTTTGGTTCTCGCTACCGAACGGCAAGTCTATGTAATGCACTTTTTCATCCCAGGATTGGATGTCGAGACTCGGTTTGGTTATTTGGCTACAATGGCGGTGCATACAGTGGTTTTTCTAGCTGGCGCTTTTGGACTCTTTGCTGGCGATTTATTCTTTTTGCTCTTTTTGGGTCAACCAAGTTTGCTTCTTGATCTATTGGTGTTGAAAGTAAGGGCGCTAAATGAGATATCTAACAAAAAGGATAGAAAATCGGAACGACTATTAATCGATATTATTGAATGGCATCAATATTATACAGAGTAAGCGTAATTTGCGTACATTTGAATTTGGTGTTTGCGTGTGATCTCTTCTTTTTGGAATTTATATATGTATATTTTTTCAGCTACAATGAGCGCTGCAACCGCTTATTTTATTACATAATCACTATGCAAATTGTCACATCGGGCATCTCAATTATTTGTACTCTCTATATTATTCTTATGGGCGACTGGCCAGGCGCTTACCTGTACATTGTAATCGCCTTTAGCGGACTTTATCTATATTGTATTATTGGCACCAAAATCGAAACGTGCGTAAGTATTAAATAATATGGTCTTGCAAATAATATAGAAATATGTATGCTCTATCTCAATATCATACTTACAGAATCAAGCATTTTGCGAAGAGCTTTACAATATTAATTGGTATGATTTGGAGGTAAAAAGCCAGAAAATGGTTATATTAATTTTGAAGAAGTCACAAAATCCCAGCGAAATTAAAGTTGGCGGTTTCTTGCCGCTTTCAGTACAAACTGCACTTTCGGTAATGTTTAGATACGGTTTTAAATGCTTAAAAAGTATTTGTAACTGTTTATCCTTCTTTTCTTTGTGCTCATTCTCATATCCAGATAACAAAAACAATTTATGGCATTTTTACTATGATGTTACGACTTCTGGATGAGAGCCACTGAAGTGTTTTCTTGTGAGAAATTAATGTACATATGGTTACCTTAATATTGAAAGGCCATCATAATTCATTTTCTTTACAAATCCAGCACTGTAAAAAAGTCTGCCGACTACTCACTAAAACATATTGCATTTTAAAAATCACTACTGCAGCATAAAATTAGTTACATTCTCTAATAAAAACAGCCTTTGAAAGAAATTCGCAGTAAAAGGACTTGATTTTCAATAAAGAAACAAAAATGTTATATAGGACCTTTCTATGTTAAAATAACGATACTTGGGTACGCTTTTCATGAAACTTAAGAAACAATAAAAATATAAGAATCCAAAAAAATTACCCAGTAAATAATTTCAGGAGTTAAAAGCCCTTCCGAAAAGCCTTCCTGAGAGTCAAGAGGCCTTCCACTCTACATTTATTTCTCCTTTCTTTTTTGTATGGAGTGACACAAATTGAAGGGCTTCTTCTTTCGCTACTCATGGAAGGCCTTCCAGAAGAGCTTTTAATGGATGTACTTCAGAAGGCTTTTTGGAGGAGTTCTCCTTTAATTTATAAAAATCGTACATCTTTGAAGTAGTTGCTTAAGGTTTATATCAAATATGTATTATTGAATCTTAAAATGTTTATTGAAATTCATTTGTAATGCTTAATAATATAAATTTATGCATTCGCGTAAATTGTAAATGGGTAAGCCCTTTTAGAAGACATGCAAGGGAGCACTTTTTTATCCCTTCTTGGGTAGGCCTCTTAGAATGGCTTTACTTAAGAAGGCCTACCTAAATAATCTTCTGGGTAGTTATAAGTATGTACTTTAGACTTCAACATTTTACAAGAAAGTATTTTTGCTAGGCAATTTCGATAACGTTCACCATTTTTCGGCAAAAAAAAAAATTAAAATAGTTCTAGTGGAATGATCGAAATACTACTATACAAAAAGTTCAACGATTTTTTGGTGAGATTTAATTTTCTGACATTAGGGTGGTACGCTTAATTGATAAGAACAGAGATCTGGTGGGTAACTACTGGAACTTCCGAGCACAAAATATGTTCTCCTCGAGACAGGAATATTGATATATCCTAGTTTAAGATCCGATTGTAAATGCCGAACATAGTATGTATATCGAAAAAGTGTAAAATGGCAACCCCTCTGTTCAAAAAAAAAAATAAAAATAGAAATTCGACTCAGGGGGGTATGGCGAATTTTTTTCCTGTTTTCGAATAATTGAAAATATATTTTGGTAAAAAATTTAATCTTCCAGTAATTGTTGAACAAAATCAATCGGAAATTTCCCACTGTGCGATGACTCAAACAGGAGTTGGCTCGACAGCAGTATATTTCAGGCGGATATCTTAGCCTTATAGAAAGCTGCTAGTTGTATACCCTGTAGTAAGTCTTTCGCAAAAAAACCAAAGAGTAGTTCAGCGAGGCTGACAAATCCCTTCAACCACCGAATTGTTATCTAGTGAGGAAAATTGACGATAGCTGCCAAAGCACGAAACTACGCACCACCACGGGTTGGCTTATGATGACACCTGAGCACCGCCAGCACGACGTGGCCCAAATGCTCCCCGTCATGGGGACCAACACTATAACATGTCAGCAGTTCCTAGTAAAGTGCTGCAGAGCCCTCGCTTAGGAACGTCAGAAGGCATCTATATATATGAACTTGTGGGCGGAATCCAGAGATTCATAAAACAACATTTGAGCCCGCCAATGCCCCCTAAACCCTTAACGCCCCTCTCCCTCTGTTCCAACCCAGTCGGATTGGAAGTATTCTTGGTCTTCCCGTTAGTTGAGCTTGATGACAACTATTAAACGACAACCTGAATTAGGCAGGTCTAAAAAAAAGCAGCTACAATAACCACAATAACCATGATATTATTAACGAATTTACTCCAATTTCCAAAGCCAATCAAATTCCGAACCTTGCTTTGGTGATCAGCTTTATTAAAATGGCATTGACGAAATTAAGCTTCAGAAATCACCAATTGCAAAGCCCCAGCCCAATAATTCAATGACAGGATAAAAAAAATCAGGTTACTTCTTTAAATATTCTATGAACAGTTGGGCTTTAAGCCTCACTGAAAAACTATTACTATAAACATTGTATGGTGATTTTTTTTAAACAACTCAATTTTATTTTGTGTCTTTGCTTCATTGTTCCTCGTCCAAAAATCCCAGCATCATAGTGAATATACCATAAATGGACTTTGTAATCTGAAATGTAAAATAAAATTGTTAAAAAGCAGTAATCGCCATTTAAAAATTACATATTAATAATTGCTTTCTCCATTACCGAGAGTGCAGTTTGTACCGAAAGTGGTAGAACTCCGCCAATTTTAATTTCACTGGGATTTTGTGACTTCTTCAAAACAAATACCAGCATTTTCTGATGTTTCACCTGCAAATCATACCAATTTATGTTGTAGAGTTCCTCACAAAATGCATGGTTCTAGGGAGAAATAAATACAGTTTTTAAATATATGAATGTCTGTACACTAGGCCGGTGCTGTTCGCAAACTCACACAAGTTTCGGTTTTCGTGCCAATAATACAGTATAGATAAAGGCCACAAAAAGCAACCAAAATGTACAAGTATGCACCAGGCCAATCACCCATTAGCACAATATACATGGTGCAAATAATTGAGATGCCCGATGTAACGATTTGCATAGTTATTATATAGTAGAATATACCGTTGCAACGCTCATTGTAACTAAAAAAAAAAAAATGTAAGAAGAAAAAAAAATCGCTAAACCACACCCAAATTTGCTGAAATTGCAAAGCAACAGCCTTACTCTGTGTAGTATTGATGCCACTCAATTATATCGATCAATAGCCTTTCAGTGGTTTTGCAATTTTTGGCAGAAGCCTCATTTAGGGCCTTAACTTTCAACACTAAAATGTCGCGAAACAATTCTGGCTGCCCCAAGTAGATCAGAAAAAATAAATCGCCAGCAAATAGTCCAAAAGCGCCAGCTAGAAAAACCACTGTATGCACCGCCATTGTAGCCAAATAACCAAATTGCGTGTCAACATCCAATCCTGGGATGAAAAAGTGCATTACATAGACTTGCCGTTCGGTAGCGACAACCAGAATGATAGTCAAAGTTAGAATTCCAAATACGGTAGCAGCATAGATATGTCCGACCATTTTGATAACGCGCCAAACACGCTCACAACACTCCTCCAAGGCCTTGCAATAGGCCTCGCCCTTCGTTTCGTGTTCCCGATAAAATGCTTCTAACTCCACGCGCACTCCTGAAAGTCCTTTGGTGTAGGCGATGCCTGAAATAAGTTTGGTGATGCCTTGCAAAACGCTGCCGACCATACAAGATGCTTCCAGCAAGTATTTCCAGTTTTCCGAAAATACGCTAGCCACAGTGGTGGCGGTGAAGATGAAATAAATGCTGATGCACAGTATAACAATAACGGTAATAATGTTGACCCTATAATGTTCATCAGAGATATCAGCGCCGACCACACCGGAAACGAAGCGAGCCATTTTAATGATTTTTGCAAACGATTGCGACGGCCTCATTTTTTTAACGCTCATGGCTAGTCGACTTTAAATATAAAAAAAAAGTTGAAACTTGCACCTCGATTGCACCTTGTGATTTATGTAATAGTATGGTCCTGCATATTTAGTATAGTTATATCCTTGAACTGAGTTCGCTTGTCAAAACAAGTAATTTACTCGTCACGTGCAATAATTGCTACGCACTTAATAATCCCTAGCTGACAACGTGGGAATATTTTGCACATCAAATGTGGTATAAATTACATGTGTTAGTTTGAACACCGAGACTTCACTTAGTAGAAAATTTTCATGTATGATTCAATTACTATGATACCTAGTTTACAGCGGTATTAATTTGCTCCATAATGGGTATCTTAGCGATTGAAACACATACATATGAAATGTGAATACATATTGTAGTAGACCTACTGTGATTATATATTTTTTGGAACCTAGTCTCAATATGCTGTAGACATATTTGAGGCATCTCGTTATGAGAAGAAACAGATAGGACTAAAGATGCGGTGTAGAAAATATCATTTGGAGAAAAACTTGACTTGGCATTTGTTGGCACAGAAAATAAATGACTCACCGTGTTTTATTGAACTCGGCTAAAGTCGCTTGGGTGGCGCCAGCGCCGCTGGCAGACAGGAGTGCGGCTCGAAAATTCTATCAGAAAATAAGGCAGCAATGAAATAGTTTCAAGACCAGAGCTGGTTCCTATAGAGACGAAGATGGAAATTTTGTAACAGATGCCCAGAGTGCACGTGAGCTATGGAGGGAAAACTTCTCAATGCTTTTGAATGTCGACACGGGCGGCACGTTTGATGATCCGCACCAATGTAAAGGATCGATTGTCACGCGTCTACACTCGACCTGTACGAGGTGAGAACAACCATAAGGTGGCTTAAAAACAACAAGGTCCCCGGAGCCAAAGGTATACCAGAGCTGGTGGCAGCCATGAGTCAGCTGTTAAGCAGAATTTAGTCTTATGAATACATACATAGCCGACGTTTGTGGCAATCATAGAGCAATAAGCTTTCTTAAAATTGTTGTCGACGATACTGTGTAAAATACTGAATCACCGCTTGAAAAACGTGCTTGGATTATATCAGTGTGGCTTCAGACCTGATAGATAAATAGATAAGGCACTGCGACCAGTAGGTCTATTGTGCCCTTAGCTCATCACCACACCACAGCTAACCCTTGAGACTAAATAAATGACAAAACACATTTGCATATGTGAGGAAAACTATAACTATATAGGGGAGCGAAGGTTATTATGGACCACATAAGGATAATTTCTGTAGAAAAAAAATCTGAATTTTTGCTAATTTTTAGTGGATAACCCAGCCCATCAAATATAAAAAAAGAATTTGGTACGGCAAATGTTATAGCTTTTATTGATAGACTTTTTTGTGCTGATTGCGAATCCGTAAGCGAACACATCAGCTTTAGATTTTGAAAAAAATAAGGACAAAGTGTCAACAAATCGCGTTTTTTACAATATTTTAGAAGTTCTAGCAAAGAAAAAAAAGGTGATGGTACCTTCCTGGCTTAAATTAAAGCTAGAACTCTCGACTACTATCTCTGAGAGTACCATTCCTGCAACTTGACTCGATGGTCACTTAGTCATATGTTATATACTTTTATTTGTTTTTGTTTTATTAAAAAAAAAAAAAAATAGGAAAAAGTTGAATCAAATTTTTGAACGTTTACTATAGGTTCAAAAAGGAGTGTCATTGACATTGGTTATTGTGGTACACAAACTGTACATTGAATTCTTGTTCAAAAAGATATCATTCTCATGATTTCAGAAAATTAAAAAAATCTACGTTTCAAAAAATAAATAATAAGCATTCAAAATCTAAAAAAAAAATACGTTTTTAGAATAAAAACGTATAATGTGCAAATATAGTACTTGACATAAAACGTACGTTTCATAAAACGTAAATTTCATAAAGTGCACGCAATCCTTTCATCGAAAGGGGTCAAAATCCAATGCATACTATAATATCTTTTCAAACTCTATATTTGACTGCCATTTTTTATATACATACATACTTATTTATTGGCTTCCCTTGACAGAGTTCATTTGTTTTTGAATCGCTATTTGTTAACCACCAAATGAAAATCTTCGAAAAGGACGGAAAGGATGGAAAAACTTGCACAAATTATACCGATACTTTAAATATTACTCACACTTTTTGGTTCCAAAATTTCAATTTACTCGCTGAAAATTAAATTAAAGAGAAGTCATTTCAATTCATTTAAATTTTTCAATAACTTTGCTTCTAACTTAACTGTTAAACATTAAAAAACAAGCGTGCAGTACGTTACAAACGTATTCAAAGGTCATTTTCGAACATATTTTTAAATACATAAATATTAATTCGTTCCTCAAGTTTTCTTTTCTAAGAGAAAGAGAGAAAAACCAAAAGTACGAGAACGCTTTTCGGGTAAAAATTGGTAAAAATATCAAATACACCGTGGACGCCATTTTTTGTTTACATAATATGTATATTGAATACGGTGAAAATGCAGATGCGCTTTTGTTTTTGCTTATTCAACTTACAATTCGTTGATAGTTTGACCATTTACCGGTTTTTACCAGCAAAGATTCTTCAACTCAAATCAAATCTTGCAACTTCTGACAAAGAGAGGATCGATTTTACTTACCCATTTTCCCCTTCTTTGCCAGAGAACGGAGTACGGGAATGCTTTCTGGTAAATTCCTGTAAACTCTTGCAACTTCTTGCATTGGTAATCGATAGTTTCAACAAGTATATCGAATACTATCGATGGTCAGACTATCGATAGTTTTGCTGCTCTAGCGCCTCATAACTACAAATACATATATATATATATATATATCTGGCATAATTCCTTACAAGCTTAATTAAATACGATAAGCAAACGATAGCGTTTACTGCATACACCGATGGGAATTTTGATATTGATTATAATAGATATTAACCAGAAGATGGTAAAATTCTAGAATGCAACTTGTACATTTATCAGTTACGATGACGATACAAATTTCGATAACAACATCGATAAAAAAATATAAAGTATCGATAAATATATCGTTGCTCATATAGAATACTAAAATAAACACATCTTCAAAAAATGTCAATTAGGGTCTTTTGCATAGCTGACTATTACAGATTTAGCTG